CATTAAAAACCACTAGTAGACGCCACACTCCGATTCTGTTCGTTTAATACTTTCCTCCCTTCCCCTTTTTTTAAATGAAAACACAGTTTTGAATGTCCAGCATTCCTAATCCGACAGCATCACTTCAACTAATTTTTTCCTCCCATCATTCCATCAATTTTCTCAAATATTTAATCAAACTTTCCGTTTATCCGATTTGGCTGTCGCCTGGAACAACAACCTATTTTCATCTACAACTGTTGTTGCTTTTCTATACTTTTCTTAAAACTTTAGTGCCGTTTGCTTTCCAGTATTTTTTGATAGAAGGATAGTGTAGTTTGTCGTATAGTGACAAATCCGTTGCCCGCAGTGAAAACTGAAGAATAATTACGTTGTTTAATGACTGAAAATTGCATTGGATTTTGACGAACCTCAACTACAGCAGCAATAATAGTAGCGCCACTAAAGTTAATTGGAACAGACGCTAATCATCAGCGTTTGACAATTTTGATCGACCATCGATAACAACAGCACCAGGACCAGCATCGGTGGCAGTAGTAGTAGTAGTAGTAGTAGTGGTAGTAGTAGTAGTAATAGGAGCAGCAAAAACAACAACATCCCCAACAATAACTAGCAAACGCAACAGCAATTTGACGAAACTGACTATAAAAGTAATGCGAGCGACAATAACAACAAGGAGGATGGCGCAGATTTGACTTAGGGCTTTGGGGCCAAAAGCTTGGCAAACTGCCAAGTTGCGGCATTCCCATTCTGTTGCTCTCTCATAAGCAGCAGCTATAACAGCACCACCCTCCATCTATCCGTGAAGACGGCAGCACAAACCGTTTCGATTCTTCAAGTTTGCTTTCCCTTTCACTTCTTCTTTTACTGTGTCGTTTTATTCGACGGCAGTTTCCATTTTCACACAAACTGAATTCGCTTGGCAGCGTTTGGTGGTCATCGATGATGGCGCCAGACTGTCGATGAACATTTGTCGAAAAATTCAGTTTTTCTCAGTTGGTTCCGAAGCTGTATTAAATTTCGGTGTGGCGGAATAGGGAAGAGGGTGATTTGTAAGTGCTTTGATGGTTGTATTTTTAATAGCTGAAAAGAAAAGATAAGTATTTTTTGTTGTGTGGTATCTGTTGCAAAAAAAAAAAGCGTACTGCTAGTTAAGCGTTAGTTTTTTAATTTTTTAAATTTGGTTCAAAGTATGCAGATGTGTTGTTTCTTTACTGTTTACTTGATTTACTCAATCTTTTCATCTATTTAGGTACAAATCAGACCGGTCAACTCCACTTCAATTCCTGTTTTTCTTTT